GCAAGTGATCGAGCTGAGCAGCTCTAACAGCAACATGACAACTAATGTAAACAAAAATCACCACATACGAACTGTTTATTTCATTAACTTGAACACAAATACAAAAATCCGAATGAAAGAACACCGAAGCATCAACTTCGGGGGACCAAGCTGCTACCAAACCACCAGATGCATCAACCGCATCGACAAAAAAACAACTAGAAGCAAGAAAACCTAGGCCCCGCAACCGCCGGGCTACTACTTTCCGTCTCGATCGCGTCTCTGAAAAAAACACGAGATCCGGTTTATTCGAATGCACTAGACCGACAGCAGTTTGGAATGTGAGGGATGGTCCAATTCCTCTCACATTCCAGGCCAGAAGTCTCATTTATCCGCCTGGGGCCATTCTAGGCTGGCTTCCTCCACCTTTTCAGCTTCATCTTTGTCTTCCACAAATTGTTTTTTAGGGGTCGGGGCCTCCTCCACCTCCCCAGCAATCTCTTCCAGGAGTCGTTTCTTTGTGCCCGTATCATTGACCTCAATATTAGAGCCATATTCATCAATGACTATAGCCTGCACCTCACCCTCATGGGGGTTTGAATGCTTGTCCATCATTGGTTCAATCTCAGTCATGGCCAATCCCTTTTCGAAGGCGCGGACCACTTGGTTAACCCGGTTTGAGTTAGCCAAGCGCTGGAGACTTCCATCACCCTGCGGGACCCGACGTCGCACTTCAAATCTCGGCCCTTCCTCCTCCGAACTGGTGTCCTCTGGCTCACAGAAAACAGCCTGTGGACTACCCTTCTCCATCCCTTGCGAGGCCAAACTTGGGGGTTTCCCCTTGTTATTACCAGCCTTTCTCTTCGGTAACTCCCCATTCGTCTCCCCCAGAAGCTCGCCCCCTCCCACTTTCAGCACCCCAGATTTCCTTGCCTTTGTTTTCAGTTTGGGTGGGAGAGGGTATCGGTCAACTCCACTACCAGATGTGGGTGCGATCTGCCGCAGCGGCACCGCATCAACCACAATCTGATCGGTCTGGTCTCGCCGAGGAGAAACTCCCGATTCGGCCAAATGAGTTGCTTGAAGGGGAGACGGAACTTTACTGAGGAGGAACTCCTCCTCCGATTCTTCCTCCAGTATCAATCTCCGCGGCCGCTGCCTTTTAGACGCTTCGTTGTTGGGAGCCACCGATTCGATCGGAGCCGGCGAGTAACCACGCCGGGGAATCTGTTTCTTCTTCCCCCGACCCTCGCCCACCGATGTCTCTTCACTTCTTCCTCCTTGGGCCCCTCTCAAGCGGCCAGCCATCAAATGAGATCTCACTGGGCCGTCTATTTCCATTGGGCTCAGATGCCGGCCCTTCCTAGACTTGCCACGGCGATTCTGCTTGCCCAGGGCGATTTTGGGCCCCTTTGCCACTGGGAAGCGAAATGGACTACGGCCCTGCAAATTTCGGGCCTCAGTAGTTGTAAAGGGGTTTTTAGATGATCCCATCCATAGAGGGCTTGTAGCAGCCTCAGGTCCACAGCTCGTGTGAACTTGCGGCCCAAGTTTCGTGGACCTCTGCTCTCCGCCTGGCCCAACAGAATTCGGCCTTAGTTCTCCACCTGGGCCCGCAAATTTTTGCCGCTGCTGCCCCCCCCCCCCCCCCGGCTCAGCAGATTTCAGCCTCTGTTCTCCGCCTGGCCCGGCAATTTTTGGCCTCTGCTCTCCGCCCGGCCCAACATAATTCGGCCCACGAGTTTCCATATTAACCCAGACTGATTTGGAAGGTTTCCGAGCTTGGGGGCGGGTTTCTTCACCCTCGAAGACCTTCTTCCCCATATTCTTGGTGGACATATGGGGTCCAAATCGCTCCTTTCGAGTAGGGGGATCAAAATTGCACGATTGACGTGCATGACCCACACGTCCACAATTGAAACAGAAGCTCGGAAGGAACTCATATTTAAATCTGATCCAAAAGTCACCAGTCTCATTATTAGTTGCCATAATTTGAGATCGAAGCGGCTTTGAAAAATCAATCAGCGCTTTCACTTTGACAAACTTTCGATTTGTGCCCGCACAAGCGAAGACACCAGTTTCAATAACCCGCCCAAGTGTGGCATTGACTATTTTCCGCCCAAATTGATGAGTACAACAATCTTCCTGGACATCCCATAGCTGGACACGGAATGGGGCAATCGCGAGCTCATCAAAAGTGTGCTGAGAAATTGAGGGACACCAAGCCCTCAAGTGCAATATCCTGTCCGTAACGATCCATGGGGTTTGTTGTAAGACCCACGTTTTTGCAGCCTCCGACGGGAGGGTGAACTCAAAAAGCCCATGCAGTAACTCTCGCACTATGATACGTCCTTGGCCTTGCCATGGTCTATTCACCGCATTTCTCAGTTCAGTCGTAGTGAATCGATTGTCAGAGAAGAGACGACCGATAAGCATCCTCAATTTGCGAACACGAGTTGCTTGAACCTCTTCAAGGGAGAAAGCCACCACTTGATCATCAGTAATTCGAGCCATAGGTGCCACCTGCATAGGTAGCTGGTCAGCAGGACAATTCGAGAAAAGATCACTGAGCCCCCCTAATGACCAAGGAAAACTCCAGTCTATGAACCCAATGCTATGCACAACAAAAGTCTCCCCCCAAGTTTGAAAACGGAACTCGGCAGGGAGAAGGATCCACTTACCAGAGATTTTCCTCGCCTCAGCCTGCGATGTCTTGCTTAGTCGGTTCTCCTGTTCGTTCCGTAGTTGGGAAATATTGGGAACAGCCGAACTAGGCACATCCTTTAAATAGACCAGCCTTGACTGGAATACTAACGGCTGAGGTAGGCCAAGAAGGAATAGGACTCTAAGGCTTTTGTGATTATCTCTTTGTTTATTAATTAATCCACCGCCTTTTCCAAGATTTTGGTGGTTGGGATTTACACGTCCACTCAGAGGAAATCGGGATTCCTTTAGTTTGTTAGGATTCCTTCCCCTGCTCGGACTTCCCAGGTGAAGTAGCCGTCGGCACAAATCGAGCCCGGAGCTCATCGGCCGGGAGCCATGAACCCTTTCATTCAATCTACTAGTATCTCGAACATCCCCAGGCTTCGCCCCATTCCGGGGTCTGAATCCTGGATCCCCTTTTACATTTATCGCAACTGGGGGTATTGATTGACTCTGTTCATCACCCAGCACATGAACCAATCCCTCCTCCCCATCGATCACTAGAGTCGCAGGGATACGGAACCGCCATGTCTGCTGGCCACAAGATCTCGCCCCATTACGGGATCTGAGTTCATTCGGATCTTCAGTGATATCTTCATTAACCATGAATCCCTTCGAATTAATCAAAGGACCCTCCCTCTCCATATCGATTATCTCCTCCGGCGAAGGAATCCGGAAACGCCACCCGGGCACTTTATCACGCCGAGCTATTTTATCTTTGTGGCAGGTCTGGATTGAGTCCAGATCCGGACATCGTCTCCGTTTGAGGAGATCGCGAGTACCAACACCCTTTTCCGCCCAAATTCTGGGTTTCAAACTTGAGACACGAGCTTCTTTCTTCTTTTGCCGATGTTGTGATCCACCATGCACCGCTCTAGGAGTGGGCTTTTGATCAAGGTCTTGTTCATCCCTGATCCAGCGTAGATCCGTCTCGCCCTGGTTAATTAGCGCCACCTCCAAAGCAAGTCGTACCAATCGGGAAATTGATTTTCCGGCCAAAACTAGGAGAAAGAGGAGCGCCGTCCAAACAGATTTGAGGAGAGAGGAGAGAGCATCCCACTACGTGAAACATTAAATAATAAATGATAAAAGAGAGACGACTCTAAAATATTACAAGAGCGATATTAAAAACTCATTTAGTACGTTTACGGGGTACTAAACAAACTTCTACTAACTACATGTAACAAAATAGGCGACATCTACATAAGCAACTGTCAATAAATTGCTACGGTGATAATGGTTGACTGTTGTATTGACGGCCAACTAAAAGAATTGGTGAAAACCTTTACATCATCTACTTACTTTTCGTTTCATTTTTCACTCGCCTGCAATAACCCTTTCTTTCTTTATTTCTTTCTTTTCCTTCTTCGTCTAACCCTAATTAGTATACAATTTTTATGTATTCTAATCACAAGTATGAACGGGTCCATACACGACTTATCAATAGTCTAGAGAATTAATAATTATCATCTTGAATACACCACCATAAAGGAATTAAACCTCAACTATAAAAATTACAGTTCGGTACCTAAACTTAATAGATGTTTAGATTTATAACTTAAATTTATTTTTTTGGCACATAAGTCCTCAAAATATTGATGTAACATTACATTTTAGTATCTAAAGTTTTTGTGTATGAAATTTTGGTGCCTCAACTTTTAAAGTTCTACAAATATGTCTAATTTTTGTATGTGTAATTGAAACACCCTTGAATAAATGTGTATCCATACCCAACTCATACACATTTAGATTATGAAAGTAAATATCTATACTCTACCCAAACTCATCTACAAACTTTCAAACCCATATATACGTCACCCATACCCTACCCATAATCAATGAGTCTACTTGGGTTTAGGTAAATATAATTTCTTAGCCAAATTTTTCAATTTTTTAAAATTGGATGTAGACTGCCATATATCTCTTCTCGGTCAATATCATATTGTCAAGTCAATATTACTAACAAAAAATTAATTTTAGACTAATAATACTAACAAAATACCATAACGGGCCACATAATACATGCCCATAAGCCATCTCTGCCACGCGCAAGGCGCGACATCGTCACCTAATATATATATATATATATATATGGGAAGCTGGTTGAGTTCCAAGTATATAAAAGTTTAAAGTCTCATCCTAGGTCTCACTGATTGTGTACTCGACTTCAGTTGCAGAGTTGATTGATTTAGAAATGAGGACGTGGAGAAATGACATTCTAGAAATTTATTTCAACCCTAAAAACATTACTAATATTCATAATGTCATTATAACAGACAAACCAGACAAAGACGCTTGTGGAGGTACAAGAAATCAGGCCTATATATTTCAAATCAATGTACAAGTTGTGGTGAAAACGAAATGAAGAAGATGTCTGTGAGCATATAATTTGATTGACTGAAAAATGCTATGGAGGTTGAACATTTCCCATTTGCATGGGTACACTAAAGGTGAAACATATCGATGCCACTTGTCCCTTCTCAAAAATTGCGAAAATTAAGTTGAACAGCACGACGATACACGTCCACATAATACCAGTAGCTTATATTATCCTCAGTAGCCACGGCTCTTAGTTTTTCCGTTAGAAACATACAGGAACAACAATGGGTAGATTAGTAAATGATTACAGCTACACTCATCTCTCGTCCTATAAACAATTCTGCCATGTCCCGAACCATTCATCTCCTTCATGAAGCAAAAGAGAATATATAAAAAAAAAAAAGGTATCCAGCAGGTGGCCTTAAAGCCTAAAGGAGGAGCAGCAGCATACACCTAGAAGGCATCATCGACCAATGCGTCTGTTTCAGTAGTGGCTTGGCTGTGAAGGTAATGCAAGAATGGATACACAGATACAGCATGAAACGGCTTTGTCATGAACTCGCGATAATGGTGTTCCTCAGACTGCCAAACCATAAGAGAAAAGGAGCGAGTTTGAGACCCTTTTCCAAAGAGGAATCAATCCGCTACCTTATTTTCGCTTCCCTGTCCCAATGGAAAGAAGCTCCAAGCTCCTAAGTGTGTCGTCACGGGCACCTCTGGAGGCTGTCGCGCGAGTGAACGATGATGACTTGGACTCGAATCCAGGTTGAAGCCTTTGGGTGGTTGACATTCGAGCACTGCTGGAAGAGATCAATCTGCTTGTTCGACTATCGCTAGGCTCCCCGGACGAGCTCGGCCTGCTGCTTGACACAAAGGCCTTCTTCGATGTGCTCCCAGTTCGAGATGATGAGCGTGGTCTGTCAGAGTCAGTGCGCTGAAGATGACAAGTATAGAAAGAGAAATGTCAGCATATTGAGTGCGTTTGCCTTTTTGGCTATAGAACAAGTTAGGGAGAAAAACAGATGACCCTAAATTTAAACCAAACACAATTTTTCCAATCAATATTTTCAAAACGAGTATTCGTCTACAATCTCACAAAGTACAAGTTTGAAAGCCACCTTACTAATAAAATTTCGTTTCCGACTTTCTCCATTTTGAAGTAAAATATCCTCTTTAAGCGGGTATCTAAAATAGTCATTTAACTCGTTCATTATTACCACAGAAACTATCAATCACCACAATCATTTACTTTTTTATTACTAAAACATAACACTTATCTCGCAAACTCAAGCTTTTTCTAAAAACCAAACAAACTTTTTTCTCATCGACTATACCATAAAGCTTTAACAAGACTAAATGAAAACAAACACACCCATGAAAACGCCATCTGCTGAACCAACCCCTTTCCGTCTGTATGTTAAAATCCAAAGAGGCCCAAAATTTCTCTATCACTACTTACTCACCACATCTTTAGATGAAGGCACATCATTTGAAGACCTGTGCCGCGACTGATCCCCGCGGGTTACTTGTCCAGAGCTACTCCTCCTCACAAACAACTCAGCTACACCGGACAACCTATCTCGAATCTCTCGCACTACACAGTAAAAAACAACCAAATGAACATTTATTCTCAGCTAATAATGTCAAGCAAATTCTGCTTAGGGGGTTATCATACCTGAAGGCTGCTGTTCTACTCTTTCTGCAGATGTACCAGCATTTATAACAGGTTTGACACTTGGCTGTTGGAAAAGGAGACAGCAAGACAAACATCATTTACTTTCATTCCTCCATAAAAGGAAATTGCCTTAAAGAGGCACATTGGGTAAATTAAGGAGCACTCACTCGTTGCCTAGAACTGGAGCCGATTTGTGGGTACTTCAAGATGGTCCAATCAAATACATAATCAAATTGGTACCCTGAATCATTAATGTCAATTCAACCTTAGCACTAGCCCAAACAAACCAATAAGAGAAAGAGACACAAACTAGTACAATGCTAACCTTCTCGAATAAATAAGTCCCTGAAAAGCCTTTTCAGGTATGAATAATCGGGCTTGTCTTCAAACCGCAATGACCGACAATAATGGAAATACGACGTGAACTCAGAGGGATAGCTCTTGCAAAGGACCTGTCAAACAACAAAGATAGCATTTAGCATACAGAAGTACATCGCCATGCGCAAGCCACCACAATAGAATACACAAATTATCTCCTTGTGTACCAGTCGTTTCATAAGCTATGCCTTTTAAATTTCTAGTTTGATGTAATCAGTGGATAGGCTCGAATAAGCCACCTATAAAGGGAAATAACCATACCTCTATCGGGGTAAGCATCTTCTTCTCACTGATTTTGTCATACTTCTGCTTCTTAGTGCCTGCTTTCAGTCCCTGCCATGGAAGGCTGAAGAAAAACGAAGTCAGGATTGTATTAACCATAGAAAGAAACGCTTCAGCAAGTCAAAGAGGTAGTCTACCTTCCCCGAAGGAAGTACATGAGAACAAATCCAAGAGACTCTAAATCGTCTCTTCTGCTTTGCTCTGGAAGCCGGGAAAGAAGGCATTAGATTTTATGTAAAGCTGAACACTGTTGACAGATGGCAGAATTTTTTTATGAAGGTTAGGTTCACTTACCAATTCCAAGATGAGTATTAACACTAGCATAACGAGCAGTGCCAGTCAGATTCTTATTTTCCCTGCAACACAGAGAAAGAAACAAGATGAGGATTCACTATCAGTGATAAGATTGATGAATTCATGACCACACAGAAATGAGCAAAGAAAACAAAGTCAAGTTGGCACAATGCAATTTCATATAGCTATTCACTTAAGAGTGCTATAGACTCGCAAAAACTGAAAAAAGCAACACCGTCACCATTAGCAACTTTAACACTGACATGGCACAAGCAAACACTAGTTGTAGCAAGTTTTGGATTCCTAATAACATGGGGAATAGACGAAGTTTTAAGGAAATCAAGGGGCATACTTCCAAGCTTCCTTCTAAGTCAGATTAAGAAGGTCCACTAAAATTGGAGTGCTTTCTCAACTACACCAGGAATTGTGCGAAAAATTATTCATTGGTCCTTAGCTTCATTTTCATGGGAAATCAGCATATTCGTTAAGTTAGACTTGTCTCTCGTACTTGAGAAAAATAACTTAAAACTACTGAAACTAGAGGTTCATTAGTCTGAATTTCCAATGTCCAGCGTTATCATGTCATATGTTAAATGAAAACAAGCCACCCATAAGGAAATGTAGCAGGGATTGAGGAGAAGAATTGCAAGGCAAATGAAAAATATATGCCAACCAGCTAAAGCAACTACAATTCTACAGTGAATGAATTTATCCATCAAGAGTTACCTGTATGGTATGTGCTTGTGTGTTTGAAGATCCCTGTACTTTTTGGCGAGGCCGTAGTCAATGATGTAGACCTGCATGGGGTAATCACCAAGGAAATGTCAAGTAAGAAATGCTGATACACCAAGGTACACACATATTTGAACTCAATATTATTTACTAAATCTTAAACAAGTAACAGAAGAAAAAGCTGGATAAAAGTTTGCGGAGCAACACCAACAAAAGAAATCCCACCTGATTGGCTTTGCGCCCCAAGCCCATCAAGAAATTGTCAGGCTTTATATCACGGTGAAGAAAACCTCTTTGGTGCAAGTATTCAACTCGGTTTATCTGCAAAGGAAAACAGCATAAAGCAACAAATTACAGTTAATAAAAAGACTTAACCAGTAAGACTTATCCTATTTAAATGACCAAGTTTTGTGACTTACAAGTTGATCTGCAAGCATCAAAACTGTTTTCAAAGTAAATTTGCGATTGCAATAGTTAAACAAGTCTTCTAGACTCGGTCCCAGCAGGTCGATAACCATGACATTGTACTCCCCCTCCACTCCAAACCATTTGAGGTGAGGAATGCCAGCTTCAAAAAATAAACAAGAAATGAGTACTCAACTAACAAATCTCGGGCACAATGCAATAAGTTATGTTATAAGGGATTGTAAACAGGAGCTTACTTCCTCCTTGAAGGAGCATGTACAACTTTGACTCATAATGAAGTTGGGGGGTCTTGGTCTTTGCAGATTCCTGGAAACCACAATAATGCTTACAATTACAAAATGAAAGTATAGGTGGACTTGCTTTGACTAACAAAAAGAATAAACAGAAACTTAAAGAGCGAATTAAAAATTTACAGAAGAATATGAAAGTCGTTTGTCACAATTGGTCATACATATTGACTAGAAAGTAGAAACCAATGCTCAAGAAGACGCTAGGCGCTATCTAGACGAGGAGGCACCACCCAGCGCCCAGGTCGATTAGTCGTTGCCTAGGCGAGATTAAACGTTGAAAAAAAAGTATGATAGATAAGTCATATTCCAAAAATACCTAAGTCGCCATATCATATTCATCCATTCATATACACATACAACCCTTTTCCACAATCCAAAACATCCCAAGTCGCCAACCATGAGGAGGGATCTCGCTGCTAGGGGATGAGGGGGAGCGACTAGTCAAATGGAAATGGAAAATAGAATAGGGTTTGGGATTTTCACTAAAAAGGCTTCACTTTCCCCCTTTATTAGTTGTTCTGGGCGTCGCCCACCAGAGTGAAAACGCTCATCTGAGTGCCTAGGCGCCAATTAGGCGTTATCCATGGAGCTTAATCGTTTAGCATGCCTAGATCAATCGCCCAGGGCTAGAAGGGGCGATTTCCTCCTGCCCAGCTATTAATCGCGCCTAGGCCAGAGATTAATCTCGTCTTCTTGAACACTGCTAGAAACTGGATTTTATACAAGTGCCTTTCCACCAAAGTACCTCTAACCGGAAGAGTTCATACACAATCCTTATGTTTAATTCATTGGTTTGGACATCCTTGCCATGGAAAGTCAGTGGATTCATGGTTTCTGCTCTAATTCTTCAGCCAGCAAATCAAAGAGTTCCCCAAACAGCATCCAATCAAACCATACTTATAAAAGCCATCCTACTAGCATCTACTGGTATTCTGACGACAAACTCAAGAGTCAAAGAGAAGCAGCATGCCATCATCATGAACAAGTGCTCCTAATCTTACTAACTATATATAGTATGCATGCACTGGAGAAGCTCATTCTCTTCTTGATGAGCAAGGATAACCACTATAGATTCTAATCAACCAGAGGTTAGCAAACTCAAATATCAGCCGGAAAGCAAGCTCGATTCAAAGCCCAAAAAAGGGTTATAACAAATCAGTATGTGGCGGAACAACAAAGACATACCAACTTAACCGCAACTTCTTCTCCACTCTGTATGTTAACACCTGAAACCAAGGAGACAATCCAACCTGTAAGTAACCTAACCAAACCTCCAAACAGTAAAATCTGAAGCACCTATTGGGAGTAAAAAAAAAATTAACATAAAAAATAGACGATCAGAAGAGACAATGCTGCTGAAGAAAACCTAAAAATAGCATACCCAGGTATAGTTCCCCAAAAGATCCGCTCCCGATCTTCCGGCCCAGCTTAAATTTGGAGGCGATCACATGGTCCATGATCAACCCACTTCAAGTCTTCAACCAATACACTATCCAACGAGTCGAACAGATTAATGAAAGACGAAACTCCGTCGGCCACAAACAGAAACAGTTCCCTCGCTTGGAAAACCCAACAACTCTCAGATCTAATAACCGGAACGAAGGCTATAGCCGGATAATCGAGCTCGTCGCTCACTCGACTAACTCCAAACTGATGATAATAACAGCAAAGAAAAAGTAACGGTGACAGGACACTGCTATTATTCTACTCCTCGAGCATCTAAGCAGCAGAAAACACTCTAAGACAGAAAGACCCAGTAATGAGCGAGTGCTGAATTAGGGTTCAGGGAGAAGAACACACTGCACTATCCGCAGGGAGGGAGGGAAAAGTCGAGGGAAAGCGACAGAGCTTAGAATAAGAATGGATAAGACTTTCTCTTCTTCACCTTTGGTGAGGGAGAAAAAGAAAGGAGAAGGGGATATCTAAGAAACAATATTTGCGGCAAAAATAAGGGGATCTCAAGGATTTGGGCCGACTGTTTGCAAGGATTGAGGGATTTCTTCTATATTATTTTTCCCGGGGGAAAAAAGAACTTGGGATTCTCGGAAAACGAATGACCTTCAGAGTTCAGACTCTCATTCGAGGAAGAAGAGGACAGGGGAAGAGACGATAGAGGGAGAAGGAAACAACGACGATGGAGGAAGGGAACAGGCTCTGATGATATCTTTATTTAATTTTTTCCTTTTCATTAATTTTAATTTTTTCCGTTGATTTTTTATTATTTAATTTTCCTTGTCATATTTGACGGGAAAGGTTTAGTTGGGTTGGGTATAACTCAATTTTCGACCATCGTCCTCTAGATGACTAGATCTGGGTCGTTAATTCACGAGAAAGGGGTTATGGTATACGGTAGGGGTGGCTATCCGGTCCGGTCCGGTTAAATTGGCCCAAAATGATCTGGTACAGTACGGTTTTTTTGAGAATATAAGGACCGAAGATTTGATTGGATACAGTCCGGTCTTGACCCGGTCCGGTCCCAATTCGGTCTTGATTTTATATTGAGATTGTGGGAATTTGAGTGGCCTAAGGCCTAAAAGGGTGAGGAGTTGGTTAAGTTTTGTACTAAGTGTAAAGGTTTGTGACTGTTTATGCAAATTACCCTTAAGTTTTGGGTGTTGAGCTCTCTTATCCGGTCTTTATCCGGTTTTTTACCTCAAATCTAAGCCCAAAGATTGGATTGGATTGTTTATTATCCGGTCCCGGTCCGGTCTCGGTCCGGGTTATACGGTCCGGTTTCCGGTTTTTCATCCGGTCCCGGTCCAAATAGCCAGCCCTAGTATACGGTGACATCCCTCATGGGTTGTGAATTTCGCTACTAAGGGTACTTTGGGTAGTGAAAAAAAATTCTTATTAATTACTTTTCTTTTTATAATTACATGTTAGGGAATTAAAACATATATTAAATAGATTGTTTTATTTTAAAATTTAAATCATATCACAAATATATTTCTCTCTCTTCCTATCTCTCTCTTCCTTTTTCAATAGCCACTCACTCCGCCCGACTGATTTTCTCCGACCGACAGACCTTCTCCGGTGAAATCCTTTAATCATACTCGCTCCGGGCACCTACAAAAAAGTACCACTCAGTCAATGCGTTAAATGGTAATGATTTTTGTCTAGTGGTACGTAAAAATTACCAATGGTATCGTACCAGTCACTGGTCCGCTACCACTAGTCACTGGTACGATACCACTAGTCATTGGTACGTACCAGTTAGGGATGGCAATGGGGCGGGTTGGGGCGGGTTTTGCCAAACCCGAACCCAAACCCATGGGTTTGTCCGTCAAAAAAACCCGGGACAAAACCCGCTGGGTTTGAAAAACCCAAACCCACCCAACCCGCTGGGTATCCGCGGGTTGATGGGTACCCGTGGGTTTTTTTGGAGTCTGGACCTTGGAAGGCTTCTCGGCAGTGGCAACAGCAGCCAAGCAGAGGAATTCGGGAATGGTGGAGGGCGGAGGTGCAGGTGCAGCAACGGAGGCGGACGAGAGTCGACGGGAGGTGTGTAGAACGTGTTTGCAGGGGCCTTCACTTCTTCTATTACAGTCTCCCACAGCTGCAGCTTTAGCAATCTGCAATTTCTGGGTTAGTTTCAAAAGAACACTTTGGGGACGATGGACGAGAGCAACTCTTGATCTGAAAGGTCACCAAAGCAAACTTTGAAATATGTTTCGTTCTGTAGAATGAAGCTAATGGGCCAAAATAAATAAGAAGCCCACAAGATGTTATGAAACTCGTTTTTGAGTGAGCCCAAGGAAAAACGAGTGTGAAAGTGATCAGTTGTCTCACTTTTACTTTGATTAAAAAGACCAGCAACCAATTCCAAACGCATGCGTTTAGTTTAGACACCAAATCAGTTTCACTTTTCTAGTTTTTCGATCAAGACAGGTATATGCACAACTTCGGATGAAGAACTGAGTACGAACAGAAAAACAGAGTATGCAGAACCAAAATGCAGAAATGCGAGAACACAAAGAATTTTAACGAGGTTCGTCCTAGAATCAGTACCCACTGATTTCTAGGAGACTCTTTTTATTTCTTTTTTTTTTCTCTATCAAGCAAAGATACAAAGAAAACCTACAGACTAAAGAAATTGAAAAGATGCTGCGAACAGATAAGTATAAAAACCCAGGCGGAGGTCGGAGGTCGGAGGTGCAGGCGGCAGGCGCAGCAACGGACGCGGGTAGAGTAGACGGGAGGTGGGACGAAATCTGGGACTGGTAGAGGGCTGCAGGATGGGAGGAGTAGGCGGTCGGCGATCGTCGGGAAGGGAGGGACGGAGGGTGGAGGCGGAAGTGCGATTCAGAGAGAATTGTAGGGGCGACGGGTTTGATGGTCTAGGAAGGGGGGGTAATTGGAAAATGTTTAGTCAGCAGCTGTTAGCATTTTAGGGTTAGGGGTGTGGCCGGGTATCCACGGGTCGGGTTCCCCCAAACCCGAACCCGCCCCAACCCGCCCAACCAGCCACCGGGTTTAAACCCGAACCCGGCCCAAACCCGGTCAACACGGATTTTACCCTGTTTGACCGGGTTGGGTCGGGCCGGGTACCCGCGGGTCCGGGTTGAACTGCCATCCCTAGTACCAGTAGAGCCTACCAGATGGTAGTGGTACCAAACGATAGTGGTACGCTACCACTAAGATCTGGGCACTACCATATGGTAGTACCACTAGCAGCTACCAGATGTGAGTGGTACGCTACCAGATGGAAATCAGTACCACTAGTCTAAAATAAAAATAAAAATCAGATCTGAAAAAAAAAATGAGGAAATGGGGAGTTTGTGACATCGCGCAGGGACCTCGTAGCAGTGGTGGTGGGGGCAGTGGCGGCATCTCCACCGTCGGAGGGATGGCGATGCAGCGGTAGTGGGAGGGCGGCGAGAGGGCTGCGACGAGAAGGTTGCGGCAGTGGTGGAAGGCGGAGGGCACGATGAGGCGGTGGGAGGGTTGCGGCACGGGGCTGTGGCGATGCGGTGGTGGGAGGCGGAGGGCGCAACGGGGCGGCGGGAGGACTCCAACAGTGTTGGCAGCAGAGAGAGAGAGAAGAGATGGGAGGAAGAAGAAAAGAAAAGAGAATTGTTGGTGATGGTGGTCGATAGAGAGAGGGGAAATAGAGTTAATGTAGGGTTTTGGGTAATTAATAGGGGTGATGATCTAATGTGGTAATTTTCGTTCAAAAATACCCTTAATTCAATATGTCCCGTTAATTTGAATATAGGAAGAAAGAAAATGAAATAGAAGGTTAAGATGTGGATAGCGAAATTCACAACCCTTTAAGGGGAAGTGACGGTATCCCATCCCCGAGAAAGAGTATTGGAGTTGTCGGCTAAAATTAAAATATACGTATCGTATGCTCTCTACTATGGTTGTCAATCGGTAGCTTGTAGATCGGTACAACCGGGTTCACCCCTATCGGTTATTAAATTGGTTGAAATATTTTTCATATTATTAGGATGATCGTTTTTTACCTCCTAATAGAATGATATTGTTTTATTGAATTTAGTTAATAAAAATGTATTTTTTGACTTATTTTTCGAATTTGAGAACTAAATGTTGATGTTATTTGCTGTATTTAAGTATGAATGTGTAGATGAGCATCTTATTTGTTGGATTCAAGTATATACATTTGAATGTTGGAGTTAAATGTTGTATTTAAATATGAAATTTTTTCATTTTTTGTTTGAAATGTTGTATTTTATTTAAATATGGGTGTCGATTTTTAGAGAGATTGCCTTCAAGCTTCAAATATGTTATAAATCGGTTGTACCACCGGTCGGACCATACCACTTGCCAAACCGACATAACGGTATAAACTGTTTTGATAACCTTGCTTTTTACACGTAACGCTAATAATGACAATTTATTTGAGGTCTAGTTTAATCAAGGGTCATAGGCTCTACCTCGGAACTAGATGGGATACCAAACCAGAAAAGTTAGTTGTTTATAGTTCAAGGTTAACCGTTATTGAACTGTTGGTTGATCGTTGGTTAATCATTCAGGTGTTATGTCATAAAGTACATTGGGAGGCCTCGAGGCGGGAATGGACATAGTGAAGTCTGGACGAGTTGAGCTTGAGAAGAGAGTGTCCTCCATAGGGTTTTAGGGTGAGAATTGAGAACTGAGGGGTCGTTTGCTTCAAGGATTTGGTACATGGATTTGGTACAAAAAAACCAACTATCAAGGATTGAGGTACAATCCGTTGTTTGCTTGCACCTTTTTTGGAGACCAAATCCGTGGGGCCCACGGATTTTAAGGGTCCAAATCCGTGGACCCCACGGACTTATAAATCCCACATGTTGATGTGGGATTTGGAATATGGCATAAATCCTTGATGAGATTTTACCCATATACCCTCATGCACTTTTAATATTCCAAGGTTGCCCTCAAATTTAACTATTATACATTATAATTAACAATAAATGAATAATATAAACGTTCAATTAATGTGCAAACATGAGTTATATTTTTTATATCATTTCTTGTGTTCTAGTTTTCTTTGACTTTTTCATGGAACGTGTAATTCTTTGTTCTCCCGATTCTAATATATGTTGTTATATGTTACTTTTGAAAAGGAGGACAAAGAATTGGTAATTGATTATGTTACGTTAAAAGTTAAAACGGAGATATGGGCATTGGTTGATTTCTTGGTTTTTAATTTAATATTTATTTTTAATTGCATTAAATTTTAATATATTAATTTTCCTTAATATCTATTAACTACTATCTTCCTATTAACTACCTAAATTAGTCTAATCCCATAGAAATGACTCAAGATACTTTTTAAGTTTTTAGACTTAAGCACCTGAACTCGAGCTTACTAGAGATACTAAGCAGAATGTGTGAATTGGAGAATTAGTCTTCTCATTAGAGTTACTTGTATTTCCTTTCCCTTTACAACAAAATAGTAAATGTGAAAACAAAGAACCCTAAGACGTTGACCTTCATAGTGACAACCTATCAAGAACACATTAGAATGTTCCAGAGACCGAAAGTGAGAAATCTGACGCTGCTACATGCAACAAACCAAAAGTGAGGCCTCTCGAAAGCTGTCATTGTTCCCTTATGTAGGTATCTTGCTGGCTTTAAACAGTCTTTATCATGACCACATGGGACGAACCATACCACCGTAAATTGGTAAGAGAAGAGTTGCATTGTTCTAGTTGAACTGAATATCCAACTGTTAACAGAGGGAAAATGGGCGGATGGGTTGCGCCGACTTC